CCTTACTTTCCTTGCATACAGAGTTGTTTCTCTTGTTTCCAGTAGTCTTAATGACATTTATTATAATCTTCATGTTTAGAAAACTCACAGTTGAGTGAAAACTAAATAGTAAGCAAGTGTGAACTTTCCACTTCACCAGCATTCTTTGGATTGGCAAATTTATGAATACATTTCATAATCTCTAGAAATGTGTTTTTCTGTGGTACCACCTTTCAATAAAGCATAAAACATGTTTACTAACAGACTCAAATTTACTTTATCTGTAATCAGACAAAAGTAGATAAATGTATGTTTAGTAATCAATGTTTCAGTATTTTATCTTACTTGGAAAAGACAGGTATCCAATGAATTCAACCAAATTTATCATTTAACCTAGCCAAACTTTGAGGATTTAGGTTACCAGAGATTTTGAAAGCTATTTAGAAATTTATCTACAAACCATTTTATCTATTCAACCTACTTGTTCCTACTGATTACTCATGAAAACTTCATGAGACAGACAAAATCAACTATCATGTTAAATCATTTTTGCTGACAAATTGCAACAGATACAACATGAATTTAACTAATAAATTCAGGTAGAATATAAGTTGATTATCTGTATTGTATTTGATGTTTATAACTCTAAAAAGCATGCCTATTTTAATTCAACCAACAAACTTAAACTAGCTTTTTTCTTTTTTAAAGATTTTATTTATTTATTTGACAGAGAGAGGCACAGTGAGAGAGGAAACACAAGCAAGGGGAGTGGGAGAGGGAGAAGCAGACTTCCCGTGGAGCTGGGAGCCTGATGCGGGGCTCGATCCCAGGACCCTGGGATCATGACCTGAGCCGAAGGCAGACACTTAACGACTGAGCCACCCAGGTGCCCCTTAAACTAGCTTTAATACTGAATATTTTTCACAAGATCACATGAACATGAAAAACATTTGACTTAATTTCTGTTTTTCTTTGTTTTGTTTTGTTTCCAGTTTTAGAATGCTCAATTCTTACAAGTGCATGCCTTTTAACCACTGAAATAGAGCTCTTTTACAAATTAATTATAACAATATCATCCGGAGGGAGAAAATATCACATACAGACAGACACAATAAAATAAAAAAACGTTATAGTGAAGATTTGTATTTATCCTTGATAAGTAACCTCATGGAAGCTGTGGCTAGATTTTGAGATACTTTCCTTAAAAGACTTCTTTTTCCCTTTTTTAAAAGTTTCAGTCTTAGGAACGGGAATGATCTAGATAAGAGTTCCCAGAAATGTTGAAAAACCTTGGCTTGTTTCTGGGGCCTCTTTTCTAGTTTTTGCAAAAATTTGCAAGATAAAGACAGTTGCTTTCAATCCCTCAAGGAATTAGGTTGGCATTATAACAACATTATAGGTTGATTTACTCATCTGGCTCCATTTTATCCTGTCAGTGTTTTTAGAGGCTTCCAAGTACAATCAAAGTATGCATCCCACTCAGGTTGTTTAATCTACTAGCTGATTTCTCAAGTAGGGTGTACATATACAGTTATTAGATATTTTTTAAAAGAACCTCATTTAGGCCATTCAAGTGTTAAAATCATCCTCGGTGTAATCTTAAAATTTTCTTTTGACTTCCTTCATCCAGGGATTTCTAGGCTCTACTTGAACAGAAGTATTCAGTCTGCCAGTGCATTTACCAAAGGGGGCTTTCTCTTTCTCTCTTTTTTCAAAGGGGGCTATCTCTTAAAATACTTCCCCAGACAGTTCCTTTTTTCCTGCTGCTTGAGATAGGGGCAGAGCCCTAAAGCTGATTTGTAGGGTAATTGCCACTCACCTCTCTGAAGGGACTCTCTGATTAAAGTGTCTGGAGTGGCCACTGAGCCTGTTCAGTCAGTCGAGGTGCACAGACCCAGCAAGGTGCCGGGAGGGATTCTCCTATGCACCCCTCCCATAGATTCTCCAGCAACACAGATGAGCTGTGGACAATGGACAATGGGCTTTCCCTGGGCAGGACCCCTTCACCCACACTTGTTTTGTTTTTCCATCTCCTGGCTGGCTTCTCAACTGTGAGAAGATGGAGAAGGGGCAGTAGAGTCTCCTCCAAACTGATAGGGCACTTGGAAACCAAAACACAAAGCAGGACACTCCATACACTTTACACAGAGTTCTATTCAGAGTAACTTACTGATGGGGGAATCTGGTGGTCAACAATCCAGACAGTGACACAGCTATTCCCCACAGAGTCCAAACATTTGTCTACGGATTTTATAAAGTGAGGAGATATGCAGAGGTCAAAGAATCTGCAGGCACTTACTTGATCGTTAACACTTAACAGAATTTGTGGGGCTATTTGGGCAAAGGAGTAGGGGGGAAACAAAATTATCTCTATTGGTTATCTAAACAACTTTAGGGAAGACCAGAATAAGCCTCCCTGCCTTTCGGTCAGGGCACACATTAACCTCCAAGGGGCCTGGAACCTGTAGTCCCAAGGGAGGTCATCCCATGAACATGAACAAGATGGAGGGCTAAATATGAAGTCAGTATTGTCAGTACTTGCACACTGACAAAACCAGACATAGGATCTCTTCCCATTCCTCCAAGCTCTCTTTGCTCCAACAACACTAAACTATTACCACAAACTAGTATGTTATGACATAATGTCCTCACCTTTTCTCATAATTAATTTTTCATTGACCTCATTATTCTTGCCTCCAGGAAGTCTTCCTTGCCCTGTTAGGGGTAGCCTCTGACCTCCGTGCCTATGCACAGACCTATGCACAGTGTCTCATGATATACAGGTAGCACTCACTTTGCACATCTTCATGGCACCCTCTCACCAGACTGTAAGCATCTCAAAGGGAATGACTATTTTCAACTGTGATCTCAGTGTCTTACATGTCATTGGTATTAATGAATGTGCATAGAATTAATGGGGGGAAATCATGTGACAATTAAGAAATGGGTATAACCTTTCTATTCTCTGAAAAAGAAAAAGCAGTAGAACTTGGATTAAAAGAAAAGAAACCTGTGATATTCCTAAATCCTATGGCTGAAATGCTCAGTAACTAGATTTTTATTTATTTATTTATTTATTTATAATCAACATATAATGTATTATTTGTTTCAGGGGTACAGGTCATCAGTCTTACACAATTCACAGCACTCACCATAGTACTTACCCTCCCCAATGTCCATCACCCAGCCACCCCATCCTTCCCACCCCCCTCCACTCCAGCAACCCTCAGTTTGTTTCCTGAGATTAAGAGTCTCTTTATGGTTTGTCTCCCTCTCTGGTTTTGTCTTGTTTCATTTTTCCCTCCCTTCCCCTATAATCCTCTGTCTTGTTTCTCAAATTCCTCATATCAGTGAGATCATATGATACTTGTCTTTCTCTGATTGACTTATTTCGCTTAGCATAATACCTTCTAGTTCTATCCACGTTGTTGCAAATGGCAAGATTTCAGTTTTTGATGGCTGCATAATATTCCATTACATCACATCTTCTTTAACCATTCATCTGTTGATGGACATCTAGGCTCTTTCCATAGTTTGACTATTGGACATTGCCGCTATAAACACTGGGATGCATGTGCCCCTTCGGATCACTACATTTGTATCTTTGGGGTAAATACCCAGTAGTACAATTGCTGTGTCGTAAGGTAGCTCTATTTTCAACTTTTTGAGGAACCTCCATGCTCAGTAACTAGATTTAAACATTCCCTTGTGGTAGTTAGTTGATGCTGTATGACATTTTGGGAAATCCCTTTTCATCAAAATCACTCTATTACAAAAATACGCTTTGGAATCCATAGAATAACGCATAGTTTTAGTGGACCAAGAATTGGTTAACACCAATGTCATAACCTCAGGATTGTCTAATAGAACTTTTATTTTATAGGATTAGGACTTGTATTTCTTAGGCAGATATTATATAATTTCTCAGTAGAAACAAGACTGGGTGTATAAATCAGCTATTAGAATGTGTGACTAAGAGCTCAGACAATACTGAGTTCAAGTTCCACTCCTGTCACTTACTGGATAGATGACCTTGGGCAGAATGCTTAGTCTTATTTACTATATAAAAGGAGGACAACTGAGTCTTAATCTTTTGAATCCTTTATCTTTTTAAATCCTAATTTTTTAATCTACAAAATTGGGGTAAGGTGGCATTTATCATACAGAAGTGTCATAAGAATTAATATGACAGTAAGTATAAAGGACCTGGAACTTAGTAAAGCAACTCAACTTTAGCTATTTAATTCGTTACACAGTGTGATATCTGGACATGATGGCTTAGCCTCACTATACCACACCAACAACAGCTCCTAAAGTTTTTCTGGAATTACATCGTTTGGGTCTTGAAGGCCTTCCCCAACTCCTGGTTTTTAGTGATGATACAACTGCCCTTGGGGATCTGAAAAACCTTGAGCTTGTATTGTCATCCATTCTTATTTCAGGATAGTTCAAGGTCCCTGGAGCACTGTTGTGTGAGAAGAGAATAGGAGGTAACTGGAAAAGAGAATTTTATGTAATAATTGGATTGGATTAGAAATTGTTTCACTGACTGCATATACATGTGAGGGAAGAATAACATTCGCAACAATTTGTTGCCAACATAGCAAATACATATATAAATATATTTATATATATTTATAATATACATAATAAATGCACACACTTATCAAGGTTCATCAGTCAGTTATGTCAAGGTTGCTTATTGGGCTATAGTAATATACTGGAAACGTACTATTTCTGAGTGGGGAATAAGGAGAAGCAAGAAAAGAGAAACAACGGCTTATGGTAAAGGAGTCCTACAGCCGGGAGGCGGCCAGAACTTCCGCCTGCTGTGCCATTGTCACAGGACCACAGCTCCAAGATTGTGCAACACCTTTAGTAAACACTTCCTGAAGCAGAGACAAGAATGAACCCGGGAGTTTCATTCTGTCTCATTTGAGAGGAGGCAGGGACAGACCAGACCAAGTCGTGCTCTCGGAGCGCGAACAGCAGGCGCTGCTGCGGCCCTAGGCTCCCGCAACATGTTGCAGGGGCTTCTTCTGACCGCCACTTTCCTCCTTTCGCCCGTTCCAGGTTGGTGTCTAATTCCTTTTCAGGTTCTGGTAAATATGTCAGTGAACTGCTTGCTTTTCATCTTCTCTCAATAGGTTTTTTTTTTTCCAACCAATTTTACTAACCAGTTGGACTGGTTTTAATCTGTTGCTTTGAGGGGGCTGTGACTGATGTAAACTCTCAATGTAAAGAAGAGGCAAGGAGACGTCTTGAATCGATAGGTCTGATCTGAGACTAAATAAAAATCAAAGGGAAAACTTAATACAGCTTAATTTAAATAGTGAATATGATCTTAGAGTCAAAAAGTGAAATTCGTCAAGTCCCACCTTATCGTTTTTAGAGCAGTAAAGATGCAGCGGATGTGACTAGCTATCTCTGTGCAGGAGGCTTTCGAAAGTATCTGCTGTTCTTATTGGGACCAGTTTGGCTGGTCCTATTCCTTTTGAGTGCACATTTTTATGTTTAGTCCTTCCATAACTGGTGATAATAAATATGTCTAATTAGAAATAAATAGTTGACCGATTTGATACTTATAAAGCATTGTGCTATTACTTGACTAAAACAATGTTGCTGCTAAGCTTAAACTGATAATTCACTTCCATTTTGAATTTAAGAATTCAAAAGCAGAGGAATTTTACTTCCCAATAATAAATCACTTCTAGCATGTCTCTCCATGTCTGAGAAATTCACCAATTAGATTTCGGTTAAGTTCTATTGGGTAACACATTTCCTTAGCTTATTTCTATTTCTAGAGCTTAAGTCACCACATTAGCTTCAGTGCCTGGGAATCCTTCCCTAGCAAACCTTTTCTTGGGTTTTAGAATGCTTGCCAGAACCTAGTAACAGGAACAGATTATCAACAAGAAGTATAAGATTAGGGAGGGAAAGATTCTCTTCCCCCTTGCACTCACTCAGCACTCTGTCACTAAAAGTGATTTTCCCCACCCCTGGTTTCTGATTTGTTTTCCAGACTTGTGAAAGTTTTAGTTAATATCATTAAATATAGAACTGTACTAGGCATTTATGTTATTGACTCAAAATTTCTACTTTGTGAGTCAAACTTAATAGAAATATTTTTTCCCTACATTCTCCAAAAGTGCTATCCCTAAAAATTCTTTGGGATCCTTTACTTAGTTGAAACATAAGAATTGCTTGGGAACTAGCTTTATCCAACAGCATAAAGACCAAGCAGGATCTATTAACAGAATCACATAGCTAACCCTGGAGTCCACCCACAGGACAGCCTTTTCAGTTAAATAGGGCATATGATGGGGCGGCTGGGTGGCTCAGTCGGTTAAGCGTCTGCCTTTGGCTCAGGTCATGATCCCAGGGTCCTGTGATAGAGCCGCGCATTGGGATCCCTGCTTGGTGGGGAGTCTGCTTCTTCCTCTCCCACTCCCCCTGCTGTGTTCTCGAGAGCTCTCTTTTCTGTCAAATAAATAAATAATATCTTTAAAAAAATTGGGCATATAAGGTAATTGTTCCCCTGTCTTTGCATTCACAACATGGCACCAAGAGACAACTTCCTTAGAATTATGCCTCAAACTGTAGATCTTCAAGTACTTGGTGGCGGGGACAAAGGTTCTGCAGTGTCTTTTGTGAGAACAGGGGGACATATAGACAGTTGTCCCTTATCTTCCATCTTGAACAGAGAGCCACCTCCTCTCTTTACCTTCCATCTTGTATTTTCAAGACTGTCTCCTTGGTATTATTCCCACTGATATTATTACCCCATGGATTTATTTCCCCGCCAGAACGTAAAAAATAAAGCAATTTGCATTTTCCCATGTCTTCCCTTTTGTTTATCTGCCCCCATCATCCAAAAGAAAAAATACGCACCTCAGACCATGACTTGTGCTCAGTTTCCATATACATGAAATGAAAGAATGAAACATAATTAGGCCAGCTGTTTGTTTGCCCTTCACCATCCCCTGAGAGAAATAACTTATAGGATTTCATCATAGGAAAAAAAAACCCAAATATTTAAAAGGATGTGACAGTTGTTTGGGGGTGAGGATGTAAGTGCAACGACAAAAGAGAAAGGTCTTCAATATCCTACAGGAGGAAATCTAAGGGATACAGTACTTTTTGAAATTATTTTGTTTCAAATTAGCAATGCTTTCTTGTCTTCATAAAGTGACTAGAAAACCCTCAGAAGTATCTATAATTTAATCTTAATAGCCAAAATGATAGACTTAATCAGGATGTGTTTTCCCTCGATATTTGTACTCACTTTTATGACACTAAATTTAAAATCACCAGATAGTTTGAGGGGTACAGCGAAGCCCAGATCTGAAGTCAATATTGGATAAACTCTGATCCAGGTCTTAATGTCATGTGTCTAGTTTGGAAAGACGTTCTTTAAACAGTTTGGAACAGATTTGAACAAAAATGAAAATGCCAATATTATGTATTATGGGCTGAATTCCAAGAATGCTCCAAACTCATTAAAGAATAAAGTAGCAACCCAGACCAGTGCCTGTTATATTAATCTTGTCAATGAGTTTTAACTTTTCTAAAACTAATAAGCAGTACAATGATTATCTAACCCAATCCAAAATAATAGTTTTATTTTTCTTCATCTAAGTTTTGCTTGTCAGGAGTAAACCACCATGTGAGTTCTCTGGGAGAGAGAAAGCAAGTATTAAAATGAATTGATAGAAACATATTGTGTTACATCTCAGATTTGTATAATCCCTGGATAGCAGTTAGTTGTGTTTATTCCACAGGCTTCAAAATAATTAGCCTGATGTTATTCAGCTGGGAGGAGGCTGAGTTATTTCCATCAAACTTAAGGATGAATGAGCCAAACAATATTTAGGTCTGTCGTATTTCTCTAACTGCCGTCTACTTTGTTCTAATTCAAGCTTTTTTTCAGAGGCCTTCTTAGTTTCATAAAAATAAAAGCCATTAAAAGAAATTCTATCTGTTTCTTTTAGAGAATGTACTCTGTTGCAAGAGTTTGGGAAGGGCTGAAAATCTGTTGCTTTCAAACCGAAGAAAATGAGAGGTTGCTGGAGGCTTTTTAAAAAATACTCTGGTTCATTTGTTGATTTATTTTGTTTGTCATTTGGAAGTGCTCAGCTATCAGAATTGGGAATAATTTTCTCCACTAATTTATGTATTTGACTCCATATTTAAGTCAATTGGTAATTTCTGATTTCATGAAACATTGATTTAGATATTAACTAGAATCATGGAGATGAGTGTGTATATTAAGAAAACTTGCAGTGGTTGGATTGGCCTGTTTCCCTTGCTACTTCTGAATGGGAAATGTGTGTGGGCTATCATTTCTTGCTTTTATAAAAGAATCAGTTATAATTAGTTATTATTTTATGACCCCAGGGAAGGTTGGACTAATATTTACTCTCAGAATAATGTGTGTATTGGATGAAACCATTTTTCATGCAGCATTTTTAGAAGAGTTACTATGGTTGCAACATTGGTGAATACATGGCTTCAAGAACTCCATATTAGTGGGACTAATTGCATTGATTGGACAAAATCCACTAGACAGCATGTGGTTGCCTTATGGTATGCTTGTTTGGTATTATGGGTTTACAAGAAGCTCTAGGGAATTGTGTCAATACCATCATTTCATTTCTGGCAAGAGTAATTTTCTTACCTCATGGCATCTTATTATTTTGAAATAATTATGATAATTATGAAAATTTTAACTCAATGTTAAGAAAATGATTGTAATATTCCTTTAGGCTTTTGAATTTGATATAATTTTTTATAAAGTAATGTTATTATTTTCCTTTACCAAAAATTAATTAAGTAGAAATAAAAATGCCCAGTGATTATCTCTGTAACAGCAAGAAGTCATTGAGGTACCTTATGCTTGAAGTCTTGACTGTGTAATGAGACTTATTTTATTATAACCAATTAAAACTTTATCCAAATGATCATCACCTTTTCAAAGAGATTGTGGGGAATTCTGTATTTATTTTCATAAAATCATAGACTACTTGAACTGTCCTTAAAGATCATTTAATCTGCCCGGTCTGTTCCAACAATTAAAAAATTAGAAGCAAACCCAAAGTTCAAGTATTCTAAGGTTGAATCCATGGTTTTAAAGGGTTTTGAAATGTTTTTAAGAGTAAATCTTGAGGCACATACACCCCAGTCTTTATAGCAGCAATGCCACCATAACCAAAATATGGAAAGAGCCCAGATGTCCAGCAACAGATGAAAGGATAAGGAGGATGTGGTATATATACACAATGGAATATTACTCAGACATCAAAAAGAATGAAATCTTGCCATTTGCAACAATGTGGATGGAACTAGAGGGTATTATGTAAGTGAAATAAGTCAATCAGAGAAAGACAAATATCATATGATTTCACATATGTGGAATTTAAGAAACAAAACATGAACATAGGGGAAGGAAAGGAAAAATAAGACTAAAACAGAGAGAGAGCGACAAACCATAAAAGAATCTTTTATTTATTTATTTAAAAGAGCACAAGCAAGGGGAGTGGCAGGCAGAGGGAGAAGCAGGCTCCCCGCAGAGCAGGGAACCCAATGTGGGACTCGATCCCAGGACCCTAAGATCATGACCTGAGCCAAATGCAGATGCTTAACCAACAGAGCTACCAGGTGTCCCAACTGTAAAAGACTCTTACTATAGGAAACAAACTGAGGGGTGCTGGAGGGGAAGTGGGTGGGGATGGGGTGACTGGGTGATGGGCATCAAGGAGGGTACTTGATGGAATGAGCACTGGGTGTTATATGCAACTGATGAATCACTAAATTCTACCTCTGAAACTAATAATACACTATATGTTAATTAAATTGATTTTAAATGTAAAAAAAAAGAGTAAATCTCAAGCCAGTGAAAGAGAAGTTATTGCATCCCTTTAATTTTTCATTTTTGACCTAATAAGTTTTTAGCCAATTTAATTACTTTTCCTATTCTTCGAAGTTAGAAGTAAAAGGCTCTTGAGTGATCAAGTGCATTTAGCTATCCTAAAATGATAAAAAAAAGTGACATAAATAGGAATTTTTTAAAGATTCTGCTTTAATTTCTAAAGAAAATTTTTAAAAATAAATATTCTCTGGAGTATTATTGGGATAACTCTACAAGTCATCCAAGATGACTAACAAAAAAATACTCACTTTTATTTGTTAAAAGATCAAAAATAATAACATAAATTTATATTACCATAGAATTTAGGTTTGAGTAATTTAATAAGCTGGGATTATCTTTAGAGAGAACTCTAGTCATGACACAGAGAACTAAAGCCTTTCCAGTCCATAGTATTAGTAAATTGCTAGGCTGGGCCCATACTTTGTTTCCTACTGCATCTATATTCTGGGTAGACCAGTAGCCTCCTGAGAAACCAAAGAGTTGGTCTATTGACATTTCCTTACACACTACTCTACCCAGAGCAAGGACTCGATCAAGTGGGCAAATAAAAGAGAAAATAGAAAATTAAGTGTTAGCTTTGGGAAAACTCTGAATTCCTCTTAAAAATAATTTGTAGAGGGGCACCTGGGTGGCTCAGTCAGTTAAGTGTCTGACTTCTGATTTTGGCTCAGGACAGGTCTCAGGGTCTTGAAATGGAGCCCCGAGTTGGGCTTGTGCTGGGCATGGAGTCTGCTTGGGATTCTCTCTTCCCCCTCCCTTTGCCCCTCCTTGTTTGCTCGTGCGTGCCTGCACGTGCTCTCTCTCAAAAAAATAAAAGAAAATTAAAAAAAATAACTCATATTGAATGGAGCACTGGGTGTTATACACAGACAATGAATCATGGAACACTACATCAAAAACTAATGATGTAATGTATGGTGATTAACGTAACATAATAAAATTAAAAAAAGTAATAACTTGTAGAAACAATGTTGACTTGAGAATTCAAAATGTAGATAGAAGGTTGGAGATAACTGTTCAATTCTCTTTCAATATGACTGCAGGCTCAAAAATTTTCCTTCCAGACCAGTAAAAATGTTCTAATTGTTTGCTTCTCTAATTTTCATTCTTTTCATGCTCTGTATGCAAAATGAAAGTTTATCTGTATTGCAAAAGCCAAGCATTCTATGGAGCTGATATTGGAGGTTTTCTTACTGTGTCTTAGTTTTATTCATTACAATTGGAAAATATAAGAAAAAAATATTAGAGTCAGAAATGGCACACATTAGTTATTTCATTTTTGTAACACTGTAGTTTTCAGAATACTTCTACTCAATTATGCTGACATTGATTAGCATCTTAGATTAGGTTGGCTTTTGCCTTCCCGTACTAACTTGCCTGTACTGCTTGCTACATTCTTCTATAGAGGATTCAAGGTAGCAAGGAGAGATGGAAAAATCCAAAAGAAATATTTTCACCAAATAGAGAAACACTTGTAAACTTTCAGTGGGGAAATATTTGAAGATATAGGTTCAAGATTTGAGAGGAATTGTGGGCTTCTGATTTTGTCTGTCTCTACACTTAAATAACTCTCTGACATAACTCAGGTAAGCCTCCGTGTGTAGCATTATTCATCAGAAATGCAATAAGTCTGATGACTATCAACCAGATTGCTTATTTGTTATGCTCCACTAAATCTTCTCTTACCTTTTTTTCCCCCTCAGTAAATGCTATCAAAGACCTCCCTGGAGTAAAGAACTATGAAGTGGTTTATCCCAGAAGACTTCATCCACTACATAAAAGAGAGGTCAAGGAGCCAGAGCAACAGGTACAGCTTTTGGCTTAACAAAGAATCTTGAAAAAATATACATAAATATATTTACATATGATATACAGATAGATATACAACTATAATGTATATACATATTTATATATAGACATTTACGTTTGTTGTTAGACCTTATTTTCATTAATCTTCACAATAATTCAGTGTTTTATCATTAGCCCCATTTTGAAGATTAAGATTCTGACAGTAAATAAACTGCCCAAGGTCACACAGAAAATAAACTTTAATACTTTTATGATAATTTATAATTCTGTGTACTTCCAAAGAGATTTGATACAACTTATTTTATCTATTATCTATCTATCGATCATCTATGTATCTATGTACACACATACAAACAAAACCATAAATAATAAAACTGAAGTGGAAAATAAAATATTGTGGATGAAAATTAAGTTAGAATGAATTACTGTAATTAAACATGAAATTTACCTTTGTCTTTTCTGAAGAGAAAGGTATTAAAGTTTGTATAGTTCTTATTACTTAATGAAAAAACACATTCTCAGTCAAAAGATAAAAGCTAAAACACGATGATTCATTCAACAATTTTCTAAGTACCTGCACCCAGAAGTTTTTTGCTGGGAGCTAAGAAGAATATAGATAAATGAGACATAAATAATAATATGCAGAAATATTGTAAGATACCACTCCCTGGGAGTACATACTTCCCCAGTGGATAAGGTTCCTAACAGATGATTTCTTCTAAAGCAAATGTTTATAATAGCAGAACCCATAGTAGACATTGTTTATAAAAATAATTCTTTCTCAACAAAATGTTTCTGTTAAATTTAAATGGGACCTATATGCATTGGATTCCTCATCAGTATGGCTCCCTTAAATGCTTTCCAGCATTCTCTTAAAAATGCCAGATATCAGGACACCTGCGTGGCTCAGTCAGTTAAGCATCTGCCTTCTGCTCAAATCATGATCCCAGCGTCCTGGGATCGAGCTCCGTATCGGGCTCCTTGTTCAGCAGGGAGCCTGCTTCTCTCTTTCCCTCTGCCTGCAGCTCCCCCTGCTTGTGCTCTCTCTCTCTCTGACAAATAAGTAAATAAAATTTTTTTTTAAATGCCAGATACATTGGGGCACCTGGGTGGCTCAGTTGGTTGAGTGTCTGCCTTCGGCTCGGGTCATGATCCCAGGGTCCTGGGATCGAGCCCCACATCAGGCTCCTGGCTCAGCGGGGAGCCTGCTTCTCCCTCTCCCAAATAAATAAATAAATAAATAAATAAATAAATAAATAAAATGCCAGATACATTTTGTCACTCATTATTTTGAGGGAAATTTGAATACACATCCAGTGTTTTTATCACAGTTATAAAGTGATTTCTTTATAAAACAAATTTAAGTTTTTGAACAATTTATTTTGATGAAAAACCATAGAGTAGTTACTGGTACCTAATAGATGATCAATCTTAATTTTTGGAATAGTTGAGTAGATACATGCAGTTGATGCAATGTGCTTGCTATTTATTGCAAATACATCATTTATCTAGTCTACAACTCGATTAACTGGTTGCATGAACCTTATATTTTCGTGATCCAGAGTGAAAGGGTAAAGGATCTGAATTGAAAAGCCTTGTTTATATTCACATCTTAACTTTGTTAATTTTCTCTGTATAAATTTAGACACAAATGAACTTCAAATTCATGTCTTTAAATTGAGATAATAATAGTAGTGCTTATCTTATGTGGCTATTTTGAGAAAACTTGTCTGAAAAGCAGAGCTGGATGCAATCATTAACTCCCTGATCAAGATTATGTTATGACACTGTCCTATGTAACTTATGACTAGCCATCATGGCTCTTTTGCTTGATGTTATGGTTTATCAAGCCATTTTGTCTTCTTTCTGCTTTTGACACAACCTCCTTTTTAGTCAGCTTTGGTATTCTCAAAGCCTTTCTTAATAATACACTTGTTTCCACATCTCTGCACTTTTTAAAGGAGTTTTTTCCTACTTAATGTGTTCTCCTTATATGTAATGCCCAGTCTACCTTATATTCTTTGTGAAGTCAACATGGAATAGTCCATGCTTCAGAAATGGTCAGTATTACACCGTTTGGCTCTTGATTTTCTTTTAATATTGATTTTACTATAGTTATGGTGTGTGTGTGTGTGTGTGTGCATGTCTGTGCACGTGCATGTCTGTGAGAGTAAGTTTAATCTTCTCTTCTGGTTTAAAATAGCCCAGGTCAATTTAAAAAAATCATTTCCTTCTAGTGGGTACTTTCCAAATCAAGATGCATCTTTCCTCTCCTCACCCATAGTTCAGGACCCAGGTTGCACACAAATAGGGTAGATTTTTTATTAGCAGGCATTGCTCTCCACCACAGACTTCTACTTGGGACATACAGTTATCACATCACCCAGTGCACCCTCTTTCATAAATACTTGTTTTCTTCCTTATTGTTTCCTTTTGTCTATAATCTCTACGCCAGTGTTGGCTAAAACTTCCAGTCTAAAAGCAATAATCTTTTCTAAAACAATCTCCCAATAATATTTTAGGTGAAAATGCACTCAAAACCATTGCTGACAGGAAATAGAAATTGGAAAGCTCTTCTGGACAGAAGATTATATCTACTATCCTCCTAATATTTTAATTCCATCTGGCCTTTCTTAAATCTAAATGATAAGTGGTACAATGATTCCCCATAACTTTTATTTTCAGCCCTTAGCCTTTTTTGTTTTTTCCCAGCTCCTGCTATTCATCAACATGAAGTGAATTACAGCAGCCTCTCCTCTTCTAGACCTACAGTATAGGATATTTATACCCAGGAGTTTTTGACATCAGAGAGAACTCCAATAACTAATCATTTAAGGGGAATGCGGACCATACCAACTGACCTTGGAGATGGCAAATCCCTGCACAATCCCCCTGACTTGAAGTCTCTAACTCACTGTTGTCCCTTGCTGAGCTCAGGTATTGCTCTGGCCAGAAGAGGGAGGAGAGAAGAAAAGCTTGGCCTTAGGTGCAGCCCAGCAGAGGAAACAGTACTCAGTCATATTTGGTCTGCCATATTTAGATCTCTTTATTTTTTTTTAAAGATTTTATTTATTTATTTATTTGAGAGAGAGAATGAGAGAGAGAGAGAGACCATGAGAGGGGGGAGGGTCAGAGGGAGAAGCAGACTCCCCGCTGAGCAGGGAGTCTGATGTGGGACTCGATCCCGGGACTCCGGGATCATGACCTGAGCCGAAGGCAGTCGCTGAACCAACTGAGCCACCCAAGCGCCCTAGATCTCTTTAATAACAACATCGTGGCACTCCCCAGTGAAAAAACTCTGTTTTATAGAACAAAATCAGAATTCAGTACCCAATAGCATCTTCTTCAACATACAGTCCTCTGTATCTCTTTTGGTCTATATAAATCTCAAAACTGTTCTCCTTTTCCACATGAGGTTTGCTTGAGGTGATATTTTCTCATTCTGAACTCCTGAGACTTTATTTTCTTCCTGACGACTTCTCTCTGCTTTTGAGTACATATTTCTGTTGTTTCGTCCATATTCTGACCTCCAGTTAGCTGTGAGAAGACCTCCAGACCAAACAACTATCAGTTGGAGTCTTTGAGGTCTTTGGGTCTGTGGGCATACTATTCCTTCTCAAATAACTTCCCCACCCTGCTTCACCTGGCTAATTCATATCTCAGCTTACATGTTACTTCCTCAAGAAAGCCTTTCCTGACCTTAAGATGTTAGACGTCTTACACTGCACTCATATTTATATCCCTTATCATACAACATAAATCACTTTTATTGTCTATCTTTCCACAGAATTATAAGGTTTCTGATTATAGGTTTCAATTTTTCTTGCTTAGAGTTGAATTTCCAGAACTGAGTAGAGGCATGCATATAATTAACACTCGAATAATATTTGTAAAATGAATGGGTGGATGGGTGGATGGATGGATAGAAAGGTCCCAAATAATTTGTCTATTCAGCTGGCAGGGTTAAATCAAACTAACAAATCAGAAGAGGCTGGAAGCAGACATTAGCTATGTAAACTATATAGACTACCATTAAAGAAAGCAAGCATTGTTTGCTAATTATTAAAAAGATGGACATAGCCAAATGAATATTTATGTGTGTTTATAATCACCAGTAAATGTTTGTGCATTTTTGCAGGAAAAATTTGAAACTGAATTGAAGTATAAAATGACAGTTAATGGGAAAATCGCAGTGCTTTACTTGAAAAAAAACAAGTAAGTGTTTTTACTTCTCATATTGTCCTTTTCTTCTGATATTGCCCTTATCAACAGTAAGTCAGCATGTGGAAAATGTGCTAATTGAGGCTGTTTCTGCTTAAGGCTCTCGAAAACCTCTGCTAATAAGTTTTTTCTCTCAACCGGCCCAAGGGGTTTGGTGAATACTTGTTCCTACCGAAGTGGTGAAAACACATTGAGTAAAGTAACAGTTTACTAGTATTTGGATCCTTCTAAAAAATAACAGTTTACTAGTGTTTGTATCCTTGAGATACTAGCAGATACACATTTTATCAAATTCTGTCAAAAAGCAGATTTTTAAATCTTCCCCTACATTATTGTAGTTTGTTATTCTAATACTGAAAGATTAGGTCTTAAAACAATTTGCAACCATTTCCATCAGGAAAAACAAAAAAGACATACATAATTAAATAAACTCTAGGACCAAAGGACAAGTCAGTGGTAAAACCAGAAATGGGCTCTCCTGATGCCCACACCAGTGCTCCTTCCATCCAGCTACACACCAATCTGCCCACTTTCTCATGCATTATATTGTTCTCTTGTTCCTTCATTCTCTGCATTCAGGTCAGCTACATTCAACATTTCCTTCAAGTTTCACTGTCTCAGCTCTCACTCAAATCTTGATGAGCTTATATGTCGACTATTTCAAAAGTAGTTTTCTCCCCTAATTTTGTGCTTTCAAGCTCTTCCATTCCCTAAACTATTCTATATAGTACAGCAAGATTTTTTTCCTCAAATAGACTATTGCCTTTTGCAAAAAATCACAACTGCCTGGACTTTGGAAATGGAGTGGTAAAATGGAAATAGTACATGTGTGGACTTTAGGCAGACCTAGATATGATCCTTTGCCCCTGGAACTGTGTAATCTCATCTGAAAAATGAAGCAAGTCATATTTATCTTATCAGATTGCAGAAAGGATTAAATGAATGGTCCATGTAAGGTGTCTAACTCAGTGGCTGGCATAGAGATGGCATTCAACATATAGTAATTACTTCCTTTTCTCCTTGCCCTGCCTCTTTAAAAAGTATATCCAGACTCCTATGTGCTGCCAGGTAATTGAAAGAATTCTGAGAAGTGCAATGAAAATGCCGGAAGGGCCCTAATTACCAAATGCAAGTCAATTCCCAATAAACTTTCCACTGCTACAATTGTTAGCAGTCACTGGGAACCAAAAAGGACTGGGTGAAAATGTAGTTATCTTAAAATGATGAGGAGAACTGCTCTTTTCAGTCATTTTTATCAACTCTACCCTTCTCAGTTCCATTTCTTCCTCAAAGAAGTATCAAAGTCTGATGAGAAAGCAGACACTGTTCCACACTACTCAGGAATGTCAGAAACTCAGCTCCCTCAGTCTTTGCATTGTAAGCATCCTTTTCATGCTTGGATTCGTCTTGAGGGCTTAGGAGAAGGATCTCAGGAGTTAAAACTTTCCTGCACATCCAGTGGAACCTTTCACTTTGATCACTGCACTTTTCAATTAACATGAGTGACCATGAATTTTTTTTCTTTTTTTTTCTCCAGGGGTCTCCTTGCACCAGGTTATGTGGAAACACGTTATAATTCCACTGGAGAGGAGGTCACCACAAGCCCACAAATCATGGTAAAAGAATATCCTAGAATCATTGTCATTTGGGGTGTGATCCACATACCCCAAGGCAGTGTCATTGCCAGACAAATAGTGAAAGTGGAAAAGCATTTACAACATTGCTGCTTTTCCCAGCAGTAGTGATATCTTTTTTAAAAAATTTTTATTGTTATGTTAATCACCATACATTACATCATTAGTTTTTAATGTAGTGTTCCATGATTCATTGTTTGTGCATAATACCCAGTGCTCCACGCAGAACGTGCCCTCTTTAATACCCATC